AAAAATACGGCTTTCGACATGAAGATATTTTTCAAGGGAAGATGTTGTTTAATAATATGGCCGTATATCTTCTGGAAGGGTAAGCCTGCTGCAAAGAGAAACCGCATTTATGGAGTTGGCTTTGCCATCCGCCAATGCATCCTACATAGGTTAACTGAAATACCTGTTGGGATCAACGAGTGCCTCATGACGCTCAGAGTCCCACTGAATCACTCACGTCATGCCTTTTTCATCAGTGCATTTGCCCCAACACTGGATGCAGAGGATGACATCAAGGATGCCTTTTATGCCGACCTTGACAGAGTGTTAACCTCTATCCCCAGAGAAGATAAGGTTGTGCCCCTTGGTGACTTCAATGCCAGAGTTGGCAGAGATGCTGACATTTGGCAGGAAATCACAGGGAGAAATGGACTTGGCAAGTGTAATCCCAACGGCCTACTCCAACTTAGAAAGTGTGCTGCACGCAACCTCACTTTCACCAATACCTTGTTTAGGCAGGCCAACATGTTCAAGGGTTCGTGGCAACACCCACGATCAAAACACTGGCATCTCATCAGCCGTGCAATACGTGGCTCAGACCACTGCGACATTGATCATCGGCTTGTCAGAGCCAAGCTCTCACTTCACGTCACCCCAAAACGGCGAAGGTAAGAAGCCTCCAAAAGAGGTGTCAACACTAAGCGTCTGGAGGATCCAGCTGTAGCACATGCTTTTAGAGAGCAGCTCGAACATGGGCTGATAAACAACTGACAACAAACAACCCAAATCCCAGTGCCGAATGGAATATTCTTGACACTGTCACAACAAAACCTACAGAGAGACTCTCGGCCAGATCGAAAGAAGACACCAGAAGTGGTTTGATGAAAATGACCCGGAAATCAATGTACTCGTCGATGATAAACGTGCTGCTTTAACTGACTGGCAGAACAACCTTCAGTCTCGGACCAAAGCTGATACCTTCTGCAAGAAGAAAGCAGTGGCCCAGCTCGAATTTCGCAAACTAAAGGACGACTGGTTTAAAAATAAAACACGTGAAACACAAAAACTTGCAGATCAACACAAGATGTGCGAATATTTCAATTCTTCTAAAACATTTTATGGGCCAATCAATCATGGCACAGCCCTCTTCTGCTCATCCTATGGTAACTCCCTAATTAAAGACGAAGAAGGCATCTGCCTGTGCTGGAAAGAGCACTACCATTCACTGCTCAACCGAAACATTGAAGTGGATGTCCCGACTACCCAGCAGGTCCCTCAGTATCCAGAGCTGAACCCTCCCCTCAGTTGTCCTCCATGCTGAATGAGGTAGCTACTGCTATCAAACAGATGAAAAATAACAAAGCCTCAGGACCTGATGGAATCCCAGCTAAGGTGTAAGAAGCAGGAGGACCTCCACCTACTAGCCGTCTCCACTCTTTCCTGGAGTATATATGGGAAAAGGAGGAAATCCCCAAGCTCTTCAAGACGCCTCCATCGTCAATATTTATAAGAACAAGGGAGACTGGTCAGACTGTGGCAACTACCGCGGGATCTCTCTGCTGTCCGTAGCTGGCAAGATAACCGCCCGAGTCCTCCTAAATAGACTTCTCCCTGAGGCGGAAAACTTCCTCCAGAATCTCAATGTGGCTTTAGACCATCAAGTGGCACCACTGATATGATCTTTGCTGCCCGCCAAATACAGGTAAAGTGCAGAGAACAGCATCGTGCCCTGTACATGGCCTACATCGACCTAACCAAGGTCTTCGACTTGGTCAACAGGGAAGCCCTCTGGAGGATCCTCAGCCGTTTTGGCTGCCCACCAGAATTCATCTCCATTGTGAGGAAACTCCACAATGGCATGAACGGCAGTGTCCTGCACAATGGTACCCAGTCTGAGTTCTTCCCCATCCAAACGGAGGTAAATCAAGGGTGTGTACTGGCACCAATTCTCTTTTCCATTTTCTTGGCTGCCTTCCTTACCCGTGCCAGTGCCAATTTTGCCGACGGGGTGGACATCGAGTGCTGGATGAAGGATCTTTTCGACATAAGACGACTCCAGGCAGGAACAAAAGTGTCGGCAGCTTCCATTACTGAACTTCAGTATGCAGACGACCTCACCCTTGTCGCTCACACTGAACGCGACCTACATGAGATCCTGAATACGTACACAGATGCCTATGCACACTTCGGCCTTGAGGTGAATGTACATAAGACTCAGATTCTCTTTCAGCCTGACCCTGGTTCAGCCACACCTCCACCATCCATCCATCTTAATGGTACTACCCCCTCTAATGTTACCCACTTTCAGTATCTCGGTTCCCACCTGTCCACCACCGCAAACATCGATGAAGAGATTCAACATCGGATCACATGTGTATCTCAAGCCTTTGGCAGACTCCGTACCTGTGATTTCACCTGTAGGGAGCTAAAATTCTATACAAAACTACTTGAAAACTTTTGCCACCGTAGTCCACGTTCCATCCTCCCAGTTCGCTGGGAAGACAAGAGAACAAATGCCAGTATTCTCGCTGACACCAACTGTAGGAGCATCAAGGCTACCATTATCCATGAACAACTATGCTGGACTGGCCATGTTACCCGCATGGATGACAGTAGACTGCCAAAGTAGCTACTTTACAGTCACCTAACGAATAGTAAGCGTAACGCTGGTGGGCAACTGAAAAGGTATAAGGATAGTCTTAAGACAAACCTGAAAAAGTGCCAAGTCGATCCTCTCGCCTGGGAGACGATTACTCACACTGTGACTCTTGGAGGAGCTCCACACAAGAAGGTGTCATACTTTCGAGTTAGCACGACTGCAACATCTGTGAACTACCCTGCCGGTCTGCCGGTCGCCGTATTGGCCTCTTTCGTCACCTTAAAACTCACCAACGAAGGTGCCATCCTTGATAACTCATATCATTGTCTCATAGCTGGATGATCGTCATACTCGATTCCGGGTGACAGCAAAGTACTGTAGTAGTAATAGTAGTGTGTGTGTGTGTATGTATGTACAATGTACATTACGTGCAAACTATCAACAGGTATATTAGTAGTAATGCCCTCTTTGCTATTAACTCCTACACTACCACTATAACAACTGCTATTGGTACTAATAATAAATTAACGCGGAGAATGAATATTACCTATATGTTTGTTAAGCTTTGTTTTGATAAATTACAACTGAAATCTGCCCAATGGAAAAGAAAAATATTCTCGGGTACAGACAGTTTCCTCTGCTAGTTGCCATACTCATCACTGATTTTCATTATTTAAATCTAACTACTCGGGTGGATTATTGAAACTAATTTTGGTTTACATTAAATGACAAATTATATTAATCATCTATTCATTGTAAAAGAAGATTATGCAATATTATTATGAAACATTCTGATCAGTAGGGTTATCGGCAAAGTCAAATTCATAGGGGTACAACATGTTAACATTCCATAGATACGAGTATAGTCTTTCATAATTAAAGGAATCTATCAGAAAACAAAGCAAATTCTGCATCCTCGCTTGCACAAAAGGAAAAGCATTTTTTCTTTGACTAATCTGCCTGGAGAAAACTATTAGTTTTCAAAGTTTAACTGCCTTGATTTGTTTGTTAAAATTAAATGATAGGCAGGCATATAAGCGAGACAGTACTTACTGGCAATCGGGCAAATATTATCGTGTATTATAGTCTAATTCTAAAAGAAACTTTAAAAAACGAAACATATTATTTTATAAGTAAGTGAACATGAAAAAGGAATTAATTATCAAAATTAATAATGTTTCTCACTTGCACATGTAAGGCTGCATTTACACCAAGCCAGTCAAGTCAAGTCAAGTAACGTCAAGTCATGACTCATCGTGAATCGCCACTCTAATGCACATTTACTCCAATGTATATTCTCAGAAACCATTCCCACCAGATGAGTCAAGTCAAGTCAAGTCAAGTCACGTCGCATCGTGTCACGTTAAGTCACAGATGGGGTTGGGCCCATTTTCTTCATCAGCCTCGCCGAGTCCGCAGTGGTGTGTACATCATGCAGGTTGACGTCCTGATACATTTAGTTCGAGAGCGTCCTGCTATACAGTATATGATCCCACTGATCGTAGCCACCGGGATCGTGATGTTATAGCTGTCATGCCGACTCTTCCCGTGTCAAAGAAACCTAAAGTCACCAAAAAACGTTGCAGCGATAATGCAGATGACATGGATATGTGTTTCCTAGAAGAGCTGAAAAAGATGCGAGAACAAACGTGTAGTTAGTCGTCATTTTCCTTATGGAAGACCCAGTCAAGTCCACCACCTTTTTGAAGTTTTCAACTGTCATCCTAAAGAAATTTTAGAATTTGTCTTGATGGTTCACCAAGTCTGGGAATAAATGACTGAAGCTTCCAAAATTGGGTCTTTTGGTGTTGAGTTCATGCATCCAGATTCGGGTCCTCCTCTTGCGTTTACGACGCCGAATCCACAACAAAACAACTAATTCAGCGAGAGAATATGCGTCCATCCTCCTCGAAATCAGTCTGGGTACTGAGTCCTGATTGACTCGGGTTGACTCAGTCGGTGTGAACGGCAATGAGTCAAGTCAAGTCAAATGACTTGATTGACTTGACTTGACTGGCTTGGTGTAAATGCAGCCTAAGGGGGCTCTTTTTTTATTTCGTATTTATTCTCTTTATTCTTCAATACTTATATACTTTCTCCATATCTACATTTTCTATTAATCTTATTTTCTTAGTCTTTCTTTCTATAAGTAACTATCTTATATTTCTTTGTTTATATTTTCTAAGTTAATATTCTTTTCTATACTTTATTTCTTCTGTCATATATATTACTGTATTTTCTAGATTTTATATCTTTTCTTTCTCTCAATTTATTATTATGCCTTAGTTATATTCCATACCATGGATTAGTCTAGGTAAGAAAAATGGTTGTGTGTGTGTTGACAAAAACTTAAAATCACTATAAGTCATGGCTGGGAGGGAATGTATCTGTCGTTTTATTTATTCTCTTCGTCTCTCAACAGATAAGAAGAACCTCGAGCTGTTGCTGTTAAGAAGATTTAGGATGAATATAAAGGTGGTAAGTCAAGTGATTTATGTCATTGATTGAGAAACAGGGACAGAAAACACAGTTCAAGTTACTATAGTTTTTTAACACGTAGATACCGTTATGAAACCTGTCATCGCGTCCGTCACCCATTAAGATTAACATTAAAACCTGTCATCAGGGTGGCAGTACGGTACAGCACTGTACATCTATAATTATAGAAGCGCCCACATCCGGTGGGCACTGAACAGCGCAATCCTTTATGAAAAATATATTAACAACAAATAAATATGAGTATATGCATTCTTCATAACTTCTCGATATATTTTGCAATAAAGATTCAGTAAATAATGTAAAAAACAAATAGATCTCTGCGCCCTGGTAGTGTTCTATAATGAATTCGAAATTCTGTCAGCCTCTAGCAACCAAGGAGGTTGAATGGATGGAGGCTGCACCCGCTGCCTCAAGTGAAGTCACTTAGTGTGATTGATGCCTTTACCAATATGGCGGCGCTTTTCTCTCAGTGACTTCATCCTCCTTGGTTGATCCCTCTATACTGTGCATAATAAATAAAACAATAGTATTAATCCCGCAGAGTTATCTGTAACCAAGGTGGCGGCCTGGCTTCACGCTCCTCTCTGTTACATAACATAGCGAACACCACCTCCATCCATTCAAACTCCTTGCTAGCAACGAGTTTTCAATGCACTCTCTCCTCTCTCTCTCTTTCTCATTCTCCTTCTCCCTCTCCCCGTTTTCTCCTCCTTTCCCTTCTCCCCATCTCCTTTTCCTTTTCCCCTCTCCTTCTCCCTTCCCCTTCTCATTCTCCTCTAATCCTTCTCCCGCTCTCTCCATCTCTTTATCTTTGCATATAGTTATAGTTAACCTATCTTAAGCTGCACTCCTTATTTAAATACATAGCTATTTTTTTTTATTGACAAAGCTTGGAGTACAGTTTGCCTATTCTGAGTAATTCGGTCAGGTCTTGACACTGAGGGTGGTATCACTTTTCACTGCCACGCAGGACAGAGGTTCATACACAAAGAAATACATCATATTCACCACCACTACCATTGTCACTACCACCGTCACCACCACCACTGCACATAACACCATCATCATCACTACATATAACACCATCCATCATCACTACAGATCGGTAAAGTAGTTTCCGAGATTCTCGTGCGGACACACACACACACACATATAGTATCTTTCAGTATTTAGTGGGAGAATGAAAAACCACATGCTACGTCTACCTGGAGCGTTTATTCTCCATTGTTGTAACAACGTAACACATTTCGTGATTACACAAGCCTAAACACTTTCTGACATTGGTAAGAACTAACGTAACATATAATGTATATATAATCAATAAAGGCAGCATATATACATACACATATATAACAACACACAAACACACAGACATACTTCTTTGTTTTATATATATATATATATATATATATATATATATATATATATATATATATATATATATATATATATATATATATATATATATATATATATATATATATATATGCTGATAACCACAAGGAAACAAGAAAACACGAAGTTCCCAAGCGCTTTAGTGTAATTCACATCTTCAGGGGTGAGTACAGTACAGACTAAGGAGAAATACTTGAGAAGGCTAATATATACAGTAGAGGAGAGTGAGATCAAGTCCCTAGGGGACAGCAGGGGTCCACAATGTTATGGTCAGTGCCTTATGACCGGAACATTGTGGATCCCTGCTGTCCCCTAGGGACTTAATCTCACTCTCCTCTACTGTATATATTAGCCTTCTCAAGTATTTCTCCTTAGTCTGTACTGTACTCACCCCTGAAGATGTGAATTACACTAAAGCGCTTGGGAACTTCGTGTTTTCTTGTTTCCTTGTGGTTATCAGCATATACTTGGATTATGCGCACCTACAGTGATTTACTTGCATATATATATATATATATATATATATATATATATATATATATATATATATATATATATATATATATATATAAATCAGTTTCATGTGGGTGATGGCACTGTTCACTGCCATGCAGGACAGAGGTTCGTACACAAAGAAATACATCATATTCATTGACAGTATATATAGGTCAGATTCATGTGGGTAATGTTACTGTTCGCTGTCATACAAGACAGTGGTTCATATGCATTGGACGTTATATTCTAAGTGAAGACTAATCAGTGTGGGCTAGCAAATTTGGGATAAACAGCAAGAATGTTCCCAAGCACCCCCGATTCAATGTAGTAATTACAAAGTTCATGATACAATAAGCCAGGTGGCCCGAAGTCTTTGACAGTGTCACATTCAATAATATAGTGTTCAAATGTATGTTTTAAAGGTTTATCACAAAGTTTACATGCTGAGTGTTCCGGTATGGGTACAGCGTTACTAACTTGCCAGATGTGTCTGTATCCTAGCCTAATTCTGGCCACGACTACATCACATTGTCTGGTTCTGTCCTTATGCTGGCCATACCGGTACCTCTCGTCACAAAATTTGTCATATTTACTTATGCTACAGCTGCCAGGTCTCTCTGCATTTCTCAGTTCTTCGAGATCAGAGTTCATGATTCTGACTTGAATGTTTTTAAGTACAGCATTGGACAGGCCAAGGCAGTGCCGGATTTAGACCTGTGGAGGCCCATGGGCAGCCTCTTTGTGGAGACCCCCTCATTATAATTACCCAAGAGGGTGGGGTGGCGAGTGAAGCGAGCCTAGACATCTGGGAGTTCCGGGGGGCGCTGTAAGCCCCCCCGAATAAATTTTGAAATTTGAACACTTCTTTGGAGAATTTTGAAGCCATATGCAGTTATTTTGAGGAAATTAGAACATTGAGAAATTTTTAATTAATTTTATATTTATTGATAGTGTACAAATTCCCAACACACACACACACACACAAAAGTGAGACATGACTGGAGTCATTCATGTGGTTTCAAGTCGACCAGCCCTGATATAGCTACTACCGCACATGTCAAAAATTTTCAAGAGACTTCACAGAAAAGAATATATTATTAGTTATTACAGAGAGATGATTCTTTGCATTATTAATCAGATAAACCTCTACTCAAATAATAGTTCTGTCCAAGAATGCATGTATATATGTGGAGGCCCCCAGATTGTGGAGGCCCCTGGGCAGCTGCCCACTTTGCCCACTCCTGAATCCTGCCCTGGGCCAAGGTCATGGTCAACATTTTCTTTCTTACATGCCTCATTGGCCAGTCAATTATCACTGTCATGATACCTAATTCCAATATGGGACGGAATCCACACAAATTCGATACGAGAGTTGTTCTCATTGGCAGTTCTCACATTCCTTTTAATATCACATACAACTTTAGACATAGAACCTGATGGACCGTTCATTGATTTCAAAGCACTTTGAGAGTCACAGAATATCACCCCACCTCCATTTTCTTTAAGGTAGTATGTAGCCAAGTAGATTCCATTTACTTCAGTTTGTGTTATGCTGGCCCAGTTGTTCAGCCTTTGCTTATTTGACACTATCATCTCTTTTTCTTTATATATTACAATTGCACAGCCTGTTGTACCTGTGTTTGTCTGGATCTCAAGGGGCACTACTCAGTGGAGTGTCCTTACTAGGAGCTGGCGGACCCTCGCCCCACAAGGGGTCACAGCTCAAGATTGAAGAAGCCGCAAGTCCAGAAAACTGTGAGGGCAAACTTTTTCGGAGTGAGGGTTGTGAACTCTTGGAACAATCTGCCAGAAAGTGTTGTGACGGCACCGAGTGTGAGCTCTTTCAAGACAAGTACTTGAGTGCGTAACAGAGATTTGACCGATCGCCCAAGCGGCTAACGAGCCGATCAGTGGCGAAGAGGATAAAAGTATAACTTTCACTTTATTTAATACTCTCTATGTGTCTGTTAATAGTTTCTAGTGTGACACATCTCACCACATCGGTGTTTAACATTTGCTTACTACCAACAGGAGTGTAATTAATAAGAACTGATATATCCAGCCAAGGAGGAATGGCATTAATGGGTTCATCTGGGGTGATTGGGACATTCAGTTTCAAGAGATCTGCAACACTTTTATGAAGCCACGCCCCAAAGAGAGTCTTTTGTGGAAGATTAACGAGATGGTCTGGATTACTGAGATAGAACATCAACTCAGTTTGAGCTTTAGTTTGGGGACCATTGTTCTTCCAAAGTGAAGTGCACGGTTTTTCTTCTAAACTTTCCGTCTTTGCCACTGTATCAACCCAATAGTGTCCTTAGCTAAAGTTATAAGCAGTATTAGACATTCTACTAATATAATATGGGGGTGCTGGTGGTAGAGTGGTACGGCTCTTGCCTTCGCAAGCGAGATGTCACGGGTTCGATTCCCGGGCTGGTGGAAGTTGTTTGGACATACTTCCTAGCCCCCATTAATCCCTGTTCATCTAGCAGTAAAGTAGGTACCTGGTGTAAATCGAAAGTTGCGAATTCGTATTCAAGGACAAGTTGTTGAAGCTTCCACTAACTTGATGACATAAAACCATTGACTCTTCAGGCTTCTACGCCCTTAACTTAACTCATGAGACATACAGGCAAGCATGAACTTAGCATGCTTCCCTGTTGGGCACTGTAAACGCTTCTGCGCTTCACCTTACACAAGGATGTAGGGGAGTGCCCAATAAATAATAAAAAAAATTCTACTAATATTATTTTTTTTGTGAGATACTGAGATGAAGTCAAGTACAGAATGTGGAACCATAAAATTTTTCTGCTCATGAGGGGTGAGAGGTGGGTGAGGGAATCCACAATGCAACGTCAACAAAGCTCCACCCACTTACAGAACATATAACATCTACTTAACTTATTCTATAATTACCTTAGTCATATTCACGCTGCTATGTTACCCTATGATATGACTTGCAGTGTATCTACACCTATTTATCCTGATCAAATACACCAAGTTAACAATGATTTACAAACACCAAGAGATAAGTCTTTACTAGGAAGGCTAGGTATTGCTGACAGAAAACCAATACTCTCGTTTTCTGTGGGACTGATGTAGCCAGGGATACTATGGGCGACCAGATTCCCGCCTTCACACACACTCTCTCATACTGGTAGGTGTTGTTGGTGTTGGTGACGTTTGTGTGGGTGGCGTTGGGGGCACCAAATGTCATCAAAACACCAAGAGACTTCCCAGGACAAAGACGCCTTGGGAGGACGAATTACGGCACTCACAGCTTCGGCAGTACTGGCTACAGCAGATATCCTATCGCGAGTAAGTCCTCTCTTTTTATTACATCTAACTGTGTAGATAATATAAGAATTATAATTGTTAAATAATAAATATCCAACATATATCAGTCTACTAGTGAAATGATACATAATGAGAACATTCCATAAAACACTCACAGAAGACCATTTAGGATGGATTCATGACTCTTCCTTCCACAGGGAGCTCAAGAAGACGAAACTTCGGTTAGCCTGTGTGGGTGTCGCTCCTGAAGGTATAAGTCGTCCAGTCGAAGATTATTCTTCCTTCTATACTTGACCTTCCCAGCTACCAACCACCCTAAATACCAACCATCCCAGCTATCAACTAACCCAGCTACCATCTACCCCAGCTACCAACCATCCCAGCTACCAACCATCCCAGCTACCAACCATCCCAGCTACCAACTATCCCAGCTACCAACCACCCCAGTTACCAACCACCCCAGCTACCTACCATCCGAGCTACCTACCACCCCAGCTACCAACCAACCACCACAGCTACCAACCACCGCAGCTACCAACCACCGCAGCTAGCAGCCATCCCAGCTACCAACTATCCCAGCTACAACCACCCCAACTACCAACTATCCCAGCTATCAACTATCCCAGCTACCAACTATCCCAGCTACCTACCATCCCAGTTACCAACTATCCCTAACTACCTACCACCCCAGCTACCAACCTCCCAGCTACCTATCATCCACTCAACAACTGTCTAATATAGGCTATATCCGTCCGGCCAAATTTTCGATGGTTTTCAAATATGATGCCAATTCTATCCACCACACGTCTTTGCCGGTGCAAAGTAGGCAAGTATCTCAGCTATACAGAATTACATGTACTTGCTCTATCTTCACGTGATATTATAATATATATTATATATATATATGTGTGTGTATGTGTGTGTGTGTGTGTGTGTGTTATACAACTTTCACATTTTCTGTCATATGATCCTTCATTTCAGTTAAAGATATTTGAAAAGGTTTGGTGTAATACAGTAGATATTACCTTCATAGTTATGATTATTGTATATCAGTTATCTACTAGTTGCATGTTAAAAGAGAATGTTAAAACTTGGCAGTACTATTTTATAACCTTTAACAAGAGCCTTTTCACCAGAAAATCCCAATACTTTTTATTTTATGCAGTATTGTTTTCAGGCATTTTTGTATAGTTAAAAGTATTTACTATTGACATCAGAATATCTCTTAATATCAAGTGCGCTTGGCTTCAAAATGCCCATGATATTGGTCAAACTTCCTGACCTCTCGTACGTCTATGGGAAAGGGTCGCTGAAAGGGGACGTGATCGCTGCCCGTATCATCATTGGGTATGACTTTGCTTTGGAGATTGGTATCCCCGCATCCCCTGAGCAACGCTCTTGTGCATTATGCAGAAGACCCGACAGCAGCACCCTTATCCACTACCTCCTAAGATGTCCCCACACAAAAGGCTGCCGTGACGCCTGCTGGACCACCACTCCACGACCCCATGACGGAGACACGATGATCCTCCCCATACTGGCCAGATATTTTGTAAATAACATTGATTATGTGTTAAAGGAATATCCTTCCTTCCTTAGGCTTTAGTAAGCCCCTTTATAATATTTATACTGTATATACTTGTCACACTTGCCAGATGCTTCTGGTGTTATTGCACAGGGGTACCTAGTGACAGCACTAGGATCCCGCTTCCTCTATCAAGGGATAAACAATTGAAATTGAAAGTGAATTGATATTGGTCAGATTTAAACAAAAAATCTGGGGGAGGGGTTGCTTACAACGAACCCCCGCCTCTGAGTATACAAATGAAATGGACTCTGATCATTCTGGGCATTTTGTGATATTATTGTCCGTGTTTTGTTAAGATTTTTGTCCTTGAATTGTTTTTGAAATTATGTTTGCGTTTTTAGTTTGCATTATTGAGCAACGTTATCATGTATATTTCATGTCATGATTTTACTACATTGTTTTTATAAGTAGGTCTTCGTTGGCTGTGTTAATTACCAATTTTGGCGCCCATTTTCTGTTAATGCTTGGACCAGTTTATACCAAACTTATTTGTATCCTAAGATTGTGTAATCAAATGGCAAACGTTTAATATACCTGTAAGTATATACGAATATGCACACATATACAGAAAACATACAGTTCACATAGTGTAGTTAGGAAGACACTCAGAAATAAGCACACACACACATGGTTACAATTCTCATCGTTTGCTACGTGTGTAAGTTGAATTGAAGAACTGTTTTAGCTTGTTATTATTATATAATACTGTTATATATTATTGCTGTCAATAAATTGCTGATGCAAAACAATGTTTTATTTATAAAGAACGTTGGTTAAAGCGTCCTTAGGGGTGAACATGCACTTAGCTAGTCTTTATTCTCTGTGTCTCCCTTTCTCAGTATTTGCATTTTATTTTATTTTATGTTTCATTAACAGCGTCTATAGTGAGGGAAGTTACCGTAAGCATATGGTGAGTTTAGTACCTTTGAGTTGTTGTTGATAATAAGCTAAATTGGAGAAACCACATACTGTACAAGCCATTCACAGTAAAATTAATAAACAGTGCGGTAGCTTGTATCTTACTTGCAACAATGAAAGAAATCTATTTTGACCTTGTTTATCAACACTTGACTGCCATACACTATGGGGGCCTCTGACACAGTTGCTAAAATGTGTTCCTGCACTCCTTGTGGTAACCCGTGTCTCCAGACGACCAACCGACATGACCTTTAGCAAACCTATCCACCAGGAACGTAGGAACACATTTTAGCAACTTTACCACAGATGTTAGGTTAGGTAGGGTTGGATTAAGAAAACATTTGCACAAACTATGAGTGTCCTCTATAAAAAGGTTTTATGTTAAGGTTAGGTTAGGTTAAAGTTAAATTAGGTTGGGTTGGGTTATAAAAATAAAATGCAAACTACGACAGCGTCCTCTATAGAACACACTGAAATTGCGGTGTTTTTATAATCGTCCACTATGTTAAATCGCCGACGGGTCAGTCGTCAATAATTACGGATAACGAGCCGATCAGTGGTGAAGAGGATAAAAGTAAAATTAAGTAAAAGTGTAAGGCAAACAAGCGTACAGCAGAAACACCAAAATTTGATACTAGTCCGTACGGTGATGTGAGCCTCTCGTTGTCTTTAAAAACACGCGAGCTAAACTATTAACTTCAATGAAATATCGCTGCATTCCCGCCACATTAATAGGTTAAATTATTCTAAACAAGCTTCGGACTGTGCTTCCCCTTGCAGCAAAAGTAAGTCACATCGGTTTGGTCGGCAACATTCGGTGTCAAGTGTGAGGTTCAAGTGTGTTGGTCGGTGTGAGCGCTGGCCGGTGGGAGGCTCTGAGCGCCGGCCGGGGGGAGGCTCTGAGCGCCGGCCGGGGGGAGGCTCTGTCAGTGTCTGCAGTATAGACGACTTTCTTTAGGTTCCAATCGTCTCCAAGCTTCCTTCGGTGTACACTCAATAGGTTCTGCTCCCCTTATCCCCACCCATTACCTTACGTTTAGTTTCCAGCTGTTAATATATTATGTAAATAATTGAGATAATATTACGATATACTTTTTTAAGTAAATTTCTAGCAAATTTTAAGGAATATGTTTCTACTTACTTGTTATTATCGCGATGACATAGGTTTGGAATCTGTTTATTTCAATAGACGTTTAAAGTGTTTAGTTCACCTTACAAGAACCTCTCCGTGGGTGTACCGATTATCTGTGTCAATATATAATCCACTTAAAGTAAGTATAATACGGCTCCTAGCAGGATGTTATGCTTTAGTAAAGGTTGTCAAGGAGATATGACAGGTGAGTCGGGGTGGTTTGTGAGGTAATTATCAATGGGTTGAGAGAAAGGGAAAGGTTAAAGTTCGACCCTGGCCATATGAGTCAAGGCTGGGCAGGCTATGTAAGGTGTCAAGGTTGATACTGTGCCTTCTTGGCCTGTGGCTCGTCTTCAGCAGGTCAGTAGAAGTATACAGTTGGCTTAATTCAGGCTAACACAGGACACCCATCTGGAAATAACAACATGGCACATAATATAGATAAACTAAATTGGTGACGAGTGATTTTTGTTACTTGTGTGATTTTGTGTTCCGTGTAGTGCATTGATGACAGTTTATGATTCAAGTGCAAACTGTAACCTGAACTAAGAGTTAATTTCGTCGATTTGATGGTGCTCATGCCAATTTATCAACATAAGAACATAAGAATGGAGGAAAATGCAGCGGGCCTATTGGCCCATACTGGGCAGTCCCATTTACACCCAACCCCTATTGCTCATATATCCATCGAACCTATGTTTGAAGCTATCCAGCGTATTTGTGTTAATGATGATATTTGGTAACTTGTTCCACTCGTCCACTACTCTATTTCCAAACCAGTGTTTACTTATTTCGCACCTAAATCTAAATTTGTCTAATTTAAAACCATTGTTACGAGTTCGCTCCTGGTTGGATAGTTTAAGTACCTTGGAAATGTCCCCTTTGTTTAGCCCTGACTTCCACTTATACACCTCTATCAGGTCGCCCCTCGCTCTACGTCTCTCAAGGGAGTGCAAATTAAGATGCTTTAACCAGTGGCGTAGCTAGAGTGTGTGCCGCCTGGGGCGGCCCTTGAGCTTGCCCCCTGCCCCCACAAAAAATACATATTGCACAGTGACTCACTCGTCTTGTCACGATGGAGACTTGTGCAGAACTGAAGTGAATTGCTTGTAACTGGTGGATTGGTCGGCTGTACATGAACTGATATGACCCGAGACTGCGTGGTTTTGCAGCTACTGGAGACGTTAATCCTTCCGTTTGTATCGGCGGCAAGTTAATCCTCGTCGTGTCTGACCTAACACCTGACCCACACCACATGAGCTCACTGGCGTACTTGTTTGAAGTTGTTTCCTTAATCCTCAACAGGTTACAGGTTGTGTGTGTGGTGGGGGGGGGCATAGCAAAGGTGTAGCTCATGACGTGGCCGTGATGATGTGGGTCAGGTGTTAGGTCAGACACGACAAGAATTAACTTGCCGCCGATACAAAGGGAAGGATTAACGTCTCCAGTAGCTGCAGATATGGGTGATGAGCAGACCCAAAAGTGCCGCCCCCCCCAAAAGTGCCGCCCGGGGCCCCCCCGCCCCCCTCTAGCTACGCTAGTGGCTTTAACCTGTCTCTGTACTCAAGGCTCCTAATGCCCGGGATTAGTCTTGTCATTCTCCTCTGAATTCTTTCCAATGATTCTATATCCATTCTGTAATACGGTGACCAGAACTGAACTGTGTAATCCAGGTGTGGTCTCACAAGTGCAAGATATAGTTTTAAGATGACCTCGCTAGTCTTGTAACTAACACTCCTTTGTATGAACCCAAGTACTTTATTAGCCTTGTTACGAGCAAATACACATTATTTACTTGGCTTAAGATTCCTACTTATCATTACTCCTAAATCTTTCTTGCAGTCGGATTTCTCAATAACATTGTTGTTCATCTGGTATCTGGTTCCCTGTTTACATCTCCTATACTGAGTACTTTATATTTTTCCACATTGAATTTCATCTGCCATTTTTCAGACCATTCAAAATTTTTTTTTAGATCTTCCTGTAGTTTTGCGGAGTCCTTGTCAGATTTAATTACACGCCTTATTTTAGTGTCATCAGCAAATTTACTTATGTTGCTGTCTACACCGATATCTATGTCGTTTATGTATATAATAAATAATAATGGTCCAAGTACTGAGCCTTGGGGAACTCCACTAGTGATGTTGCTCCAATGGGATTTAGTGTCGTTAATGCTCACTCGCTGTTTCCTGTCCTGTAACCACGCCCTAATCCATTTTAGAATATCTCCTTTAATGGCATGAGCTTCCACTTTTCTTATTAGTCTTTCGTGGGGGACTCTGTCGAAGGCTTTGCTAAGGTCGAGATATACCACATCATAATTGTGCCCCTCGTCCACTGATTCGAAAACAGATGAAAAGAATGTTAATAGATTAGTTAGACATGAACGCCTGCTGGTGAAGCCATGTTGGGAATCATTGATCAACTTGTGCTTCTCCAGGTGATTTCAAATAGAGTTGAAATGATTGCTTCCAGTAATTTGCCTACAATTGATGTTAGACTGATTGGTCGGTAGTTAGAGGATAGTGATCTATCTCCCTTCTTGAAAATCGGTATTATATTCGCTATCCTCCAGGATTCTCGTACTACACCCGTTTTTAAGGACATGTTAAACAACTTTGCTAAGCTCTTCCTCACATTCCTTTAATACTCTGGCAAGTATCTCATCGGGACCTGGTGACTTATTAGGCTTTAGTTTGTCTATTTGCTTACTAACATCGTTACTAGTTACTACTATCTCGCTTAATTTATTTTCCTCACTATCTCTGTAGAGTCGGTGCTTTGGGTATCATGTTTAAATTTTCGGTGGTGAAAACTGTTGAAAAATATTTATTCAGATTATTGCTCATTTCTCCATCGTTATCAGTTAGCTTGCCGGTATCTGACTGTATTGGTCCAATCTTTTCTCGTGTTTTAGTTTGATACATTTGATAGAATCCCTTGTGGTTTGACTTCGCCTCCCTTGCTATCTTCAGTTCATTATTCCTCTTTGCTTTTCTTATCTCGATCTTAACCGTACCGGCCAATACCTTATAATAAGCTCGGAGGTAAACTTCACCACGATTTATTTTTCTACCTATAGCCTTCCTTTGTCCAATAATATTGTTTAAATAATTACTTATCCATTTAGGGTCATTGTTGTTTGATCTGAGTTTTCTGTATAGTATGTTCTGCCTTTGTGCATTAAGTAACTCATTATTTAAATTGTTGTGGAACTCAGAAACCTCAGATCTCGTTATCAGGTCATCCTCAGCCATCAGGTCTCCAGGGAAGGTGAAGTCGCCCTCTCTGGGTACATTGTGTGAGGTCACCTTATGTGAGGTCATGTAATTCACCCCCAAGTGTGATACCCCTTCTCTCAGCTGCCTCTTCAAACTATCAAAGTTTGCTCTTCTGAAATCTGGGAATTAAGTGGAATTTCCTTGCGGCTGCTCTGAAATTCTAATTGGAATCTAATTTCTTGGTGATCGCTGTTAGCAAGTTCGTTCCCTACCTCGACATTATTAATGAGGTTTTCTCTGTTTTACAGAACTAAATCGAGTATATTATTACCCCGGGTGGGTTCGGTTATATGTTGGCTTAGGAAACAGTCCTGGATTGTTTCAAGAAAATCCTCTGATTCTGAGTTACCCGTAAGGTCAATCCATTCTATTTAGCTAAAGTTGAAGTCGCCTACTATACAGACATTGCTATGTATGGAAGCCCTGTGCATTTCATCCCAAATAAGTCGCTCATTAACTCTATCAAGATTATGAGGTCTATATATTACACCTGTGATTATTTTTCCCTACCAACGATTAATTCTATCCAAATTGTTTCTGTATTCTGCTGTTTTTATTTCCTTATTTATTTCACACTTCAGATTGTCCCTGACATAGATTGCTACTCCGCCTCCTTTCCTAACCTGCTATCAGTATGGAATAATTTGTAACCTGCAATTTGGTATTCGACAGGTAACTCACGTGAGTCTAGGTTTATCCATGTTTCGGTGAATGCTATTACAGTACAGTACAGTATATCGATTTTTTCGGTACATACCAGCGCCCTGATTTCATCCATTTTTTTTCTCATACTTCTACAGTTTGTATAGTAGACATTTAAGTTAGTCATGTTCTGAGTCCTCTCTTTGTCGCATTTAGGTTTTAACTCTCTGCCTAATTTAGTTTTGTCATAATTCCTAGCACTATTTCCCTGTAACCTTTCAATTTGTTTACCCGCTCCCAATGCAGTCAACCCAACCCCCGTGCTCATATGTTCTCCTAGAAGTTTAAAGACTTCGACACCTTTTGAACTGCCCTCTCGAGAGAGCCAGCCCATCCCTAGACAGGTGCACCCCATCCCTAACATAAAGGTCCCTTCTGCTGTAGAAGTTGTCCCAGTTGTCAATGAATGGGACTGATATTGACTTGCAATATCCGTCAAGACGGCCGTTGACACCAACTGCCCTTGACAACCATTCATTGCTAGCTCTCCTTCTAGGCAGGACACCACATATGATAGGGATCCCTCCCTTTGACCTAATACGTTCTATGGCTGCCTTGAACTTATCAAGAAGCTCTTCACTCCTACACCGGCCAATATCATTGCCTCCTGCACTGAGGCAGATAATGGGTTTATTCCCATTACCAGACAAGATATTGTCCATCCTGTCAACTATATCCCCCACCCCAACTCCTGGCAAGCACACCCTCATCCTATTTTTATTTTTACCACAAAAAGCTCTGTCCAGGTACCTTACCTGGGAGTCACCAACAATTAAGGTTTTCGTACCTTCCTTGTCAGCCTTGTCCCTGACTATGCTAACGTCCAATTCGTCTATCAAAGGACTGAAAGAGTTGGTACACTTAGCTGCTGTTGTCGTATCCTTAGTGAGTTTTTTCACCACCTTGGTGTGTTTTTTCATCCTGTGTACCGCCAGCAAGGCTGTGGGCTTGTAACACAAGTCTTGCCCGCGGTGCCCACCGTTTCTCTGTGGATGTCGGTCACACGAGAATAACCCGTTATAGTACCTCCTTCTTTCCTCACACAGCCAAACTGTGGAATGCTCTGCCTTTTTCTGTGTTTCCATACTTAGACAATCTGTCTCACTTTAAAAGGCTGGTTTTCCGGCATCTTCTTGGTGTAGATTAACACAGTATA